TTTAGGGACAAGTGATACATTATAATAAATTTCAGCTAAATGCAAAAGCTAATCATGAAATTATCTTCAGGAATAGCTATCAGTTGCACATAACCCAAACTGAAAGGTGAAGATAAACTCAAAGAATGTGGCTGATAACCAATGATCTCACTGCCTTTAAAAGTTCGGGTTCGCTGACCCAGAAAAGGCAAGTACTCGAGGTCACTAGCATTTCGAGACTGCCTCTCCTAGTCTTCCCTCTCTTCTTCCTTACCCCACCCACCACACCATTCAGGTAATGACCAGCTTATTACTCGATCATCTTTCTCACTCGTGCTGTATTTTGTTTCTGTAGTATCTTTAACAGGGTTGCTATGAGTCGGAATCAACTTGATGGAAGTGGGTTCAGTTTTCCGGAAGTTTTAGTATCTTTAAGATAAAACAACACTTCTAAATAATCCAACTAAACTGTGTCCTCAGTGGAGACCTTCTCTGTTATCAGGCCACGTGAAAGCTGGTGCAATAAAAAGTATCCAGGCCATGGAACTACAAGGACTTAAGTTAAAATGTATAAATAAGGACAATGTACAAATACCAACAAAAGCTTTCACTGAGATATGCAAATTAAGAGAATACCTCATTTCCACACTATCATCTATTCTTATTGATATGGCTAAAATGTCTCTCGGCAAATTCAGGAGATACCTCAAGCTGACAATAACCCAAGGGGACGTGCGATCTTCATCTCCCTGATTCATCCATCTCCTTCAGGCTAGTAGACTATAAACTAGGTTAAACTTCATAAGGCACAGACTTAAGCAGAAAATATAAAAGTCAAATACTTAAAAAAAAAAAAACCTGCGATAGAGTAAAACAAACTTATCAGTTTATTAATTAAAAACTGTCCTTAAATAAATATTTAATTCTGGGTATCAAATGAATCAGCAGGTTTTATAAACAATTTTTCTGATACATAATTTTATCAATAGTCAATATATACATATCTTTAGCTCATCCTCTTTGATGAAAAAAACTGTTGCTTAAGATGTGAAGTCAAGACAGCTCACAAGGTGGTCAAGAAAAAGGCTTCTTGGCTATGCTAAGTCTGTGAGCCATACCAGTAACTTCCACAGTAACATCTGGCTTGTTTCTTAGGTATGTTAAATATGAAGTAGCATATTAAAATTTGTTCTCTAACATTTATTCCATCCATACATGTTCTGACAAAATGGCAAGCTAGCTAAAGTCTTAAAGTTTAGAATCTGAGGCAAGGTGAAGACAACACCTCCAAGGAATTACTCATACAAATCTCTGTCTCCACTTGAATGCTATATCATTTTCTAAATATTTCACTAGATCAACTATGTCACTGATGAGACTTACTATAAAGAGTGACTATTGAACATAACTTTTTACTCGATTATAGAGCCATTTACAGACTACTTTGCTCACAAAATACTTTACGAGTTGTTGCTTTGCACTAATTAGAACAATTTAATGAGCTAGGAGAGTTAAGAACTGATGGATAAGAATAAATCTTTTGATCATTAATGTTAATATTTCAATATTTAAATCACAGCAAAATTGGGATTTTTTTTTATAGTTTACTGTTGAATTTTGAGAAGTTAATTCAGAAGCAACCAATTCCCTATGAACATTCCTAGTTAGTAACTGAAACACTAAAAAATAAACCAACAGCATGTTATCATTGAAGGAATTGATCAATTTCAAATTGTAGATCAATATTAAAATAAAATTGAGATGTATATTCATGAACAATACAAATATCAGCAAAACATGAATCATACCTGGTAACAAGAGTGACCTCAACAACTACATCCTAGTCATTGGGGAGGTCTCTGCAATGAACACGTGTCACAGCAACAGGGTCCTGTAGTTCACAGCAGCCACACTCTCCTCTGACGCGCCTGCATTTCTGGAAACCCCAAATACTACACCACAGGTTAAAGCAAACACAACTCACACTTACCATTACGTGGGGGAGGGAACAAGAAGAAAACACACGGAGATACAAGACTGTACAGGGAAAAGGCAAGTAAAGTTCTCCCCACTGCCTGTGCTGTACTCTGTGTAAACTTTATTCAGGAATATCTAGAGCCAAAACAAATAACCAAATATTAACGAGAGGCTCAAAATGCAAGCAAAGGTAAAACACACTCAAAATAGGACAAAAAAATATAATACGATCAACTGTTGAACAGACGGGAGGGTAACTACAGATTTGAAAACCAAACGCGACATCTCCAAACAAAACAAAGACACGAAAAAACCAGGCACCTTCATCGACGCCTTAAAACCAGACGGGAAAAAACGCATCCTTTACCTTTACCGTCAAAACATAACCACTCACGTTTTGTGCGGACACCTCTTTGATCCATCAGCACCTCTAAAAACTAGTAATTTTTTTTTTAATTACTTTTTAAAGTGCTTTGACACTGACCAGGTACCCATACATGACAGCGAAAGAAATGTCATCACAGCTAAGGCAACATTTGTAAAATCCTGTTCTACAAGTACTGGCAAAGGAAGGTTATGATTCATGGATGTGGATGGACTGTAATAGTTAAATGAAACATTTCTGATACAGTCATAAAAGCTTTATAAAAAGTATTAAAACTCAAAAAAGAAATAAGACAGGAGTCAAATACAGAGATGAAATGTACAAAACAAATGAGCAGGCAAACTAAAAGTTCTTGAAAGTATTTTACTTCAGATTGAAAAATGAACAGCTTCCACACTGTTCATTGCAAGATACACAGTATTCACGAATACAATGCTGGTCATCTGAGGAAATGTACACACCTCAGTTTCTCCTTCATGCTTTTTCTTGTAGAAAGATACTGTTTACCAAAAAGAAACTTCAGCAATACAGGAAAAACTATTTTCCCAATAAATTTACGAAAACCTAAGATTCCCAATGGAATCAAGATTATCTTCCCGCTACCACCACCTTAATATAATCACATGCTTATTGGAACACTAATATCTGCACCCTAAGATTACATTTACTTTCAACAATGAGGGTGATTCTTAAAAAAACACTTCAGTGTGATCAATGTAACATGGATCTCTGCCAAGTATTAAGGGTCTGAAATAGGCAGCTAATACTGGATTTAATATTATTTTATAAATAATTGTTCCCTTAGCAGTAAACATAAGTCTACACATTCACAATAGTCCTAGAAAATAAATACTGTGATTATGCACAATATGTTATGACAAACTAGTTTCGAAAAACAAAAGCTCAACATCTTGATAAAAACTCTGATCAGAATAAAATGTGACTCTAAAATTTAAAACATTGTCAAAATAACATCACATTTAAAATCTTCCACAGTTTACACAAGTATTATGAGTTTCCAGTTCCGGAACACATTTTTCGTGAATTAAAATACGAACATATTGAACATGTTAATTTCAGTGATGACATCAGTTTTGGTCTTACTTTGCATTATTTTCTTTATAAAAAGTTGCACTAAGTGTCCATGAATGGTCTGATTGGTCTTATTATTTCATAAATTTATATAAAAGAAATTTCTAAAAGCCAATAGTAAAATAAATATATGTGTGTGTGCGCATATATATATATATATATATTAATTTCATCTCAGAAATGGCTGTATTTAACAGAGCCACACACGCTGATGCTGAACATAAGAGCTCTCACCTTGAAAAGAAAGCATTTTCAGAAATGTCACTTACATTCTATTATATCAAATATTTCCAACTGAGTTGCAAACTCAACATGTGCTGAATAACAGAATTTTACATCTTATTTGCACTCAAAGCTGGCCACGACCAAAATTTACAGTATGATTGAAACAAGCCAATGTTTAAAAAAGTTTTAATTCAAGATAACAATTCCATGGAAGGAGAGGATAAAGAATGGGATGACAAGAAGTATTTGGTCTTAATAAGGCAATACAAAATAGATCCATTATCAAAGACCATTTAATTTTTAAAGATGAACAATACCAAAAACATAAAGTGGAGTATAAGAAAATAGTTTTTTAGAAGTATGATTTAATTAAAGCTGTTTACAGTTATTCTCTCCCACAGCAGTTCAGCATGAATTTAAAAAAGACTGAAAGATGAGGCCAACAAGCACATGGAGCACACAGGGCCAAAGGAGACAGCATGCAAACACCTGGGGGAGCTGAGGCTTCACGGCAACAGGAATGGGCAACAGGAATGGGACGAGACTCGGGTTTGTTTCCCCCCCCCCCCATTAGGAAGGAAAAAAAAAAAAGATGCAAAGGAAACAAACACAGGTGACTGCCCACGGCCCAGGCAGCAGCACTAGAGAGAACAGCTGCGAGTTGATTCTCAGAGATGACAGGGGTGCTTCAGTGTCTGCACAAAAGTACATGGGACATTTTTTTTTTTTACAAAATAAAATAAACGTCATTTGCCACCGTAAACCTTTTCTTTAGAGAGGAAAAAATTTTGCAGCAGGTCACGAGGGTTTTCTAGTAAGTCATTCCAATGCTGAGGAAAACAAATTGAGTCACAGAACTAATCATTTCCTTATATATGGATGTTAAGATGACAATTCAGATTATTTTTCAAACTAATCCTGAGAAAAATCTGTTTACAATTTAAACAGTAATGTTATGTAAAAAGTATTAACAAATCCACTATTACAAATATCAATTTCCTATATGGTCTTCTATATATACACACAATAAAATGGTAAATATATGCAAAAATATTTAAAAAACAAAACAAAACCAAAACAAACACATGCACGGATCACTTTCCCCTTTGGACTCCGGACTTTCTGTGAGATACCTTGGTTTCCCTTCCCCACCCCATTCTCGGAAACTGTTTTTTGTTTGTATCACCCTACCCACACTGAATACTATTCCCTATAACTCTGCATAAAGCCAATGAGAAATATATTTATTTTACATTCAAGCTTTAAATCTTAAAATGACCCTGTTGTAGCATATGACTTATCAAATGAGCAGCCTTTTTTTTCCCCCCCTTTTTTGCTTGCTTTTTGCTTTTGCAGTTGTCAGTCTTCATGATCCATTCCGTGGCGAGCTGGGAAAAAACGCAGTTGCTAAATCAACGTCTGAACAGTGTAAGGCTCCCGAATGTCTCCCAGGAGTCCCTATTCAACTGTCCTGAGCATGAGATCATTGCACAGAGAAGACAGTCCATCGTACAACGCCGACTATCTACAAAGGTCTGAGAGGGGGGCATCCCGCTTGTGCTTCCTCTTCTTGCCGTGGTAATACTGATTACTGGCTTTGCCCTGATGCTGTTTGCTCGTCACCAAGGGACCATGGCTTGTCTGAGCTGTACCTTGGAAGCCTTTGCTGGAAGAACGGAAGAGCCTTGCTGATCCATGCTGCAGAAAGGAAAGCAGTCAGAAAGACGTCAGTGTGGCAGACGAAACCAAGCGCTCTTCCAAGACCTGAATTCAGGGGGAGCTTTCAGAACTAGGAATATGCTGGCCAGGAAGTTACTGACTGACCACTGATTTGTCAGCAGGCAGGCAAAGATGTTACACACAAATACAACATCTGGGATAAACGAGGTTCACCCTCTTAAGCTCTAACACTTTTACAGTATTTTTTCATGGAAATCTGGAAAAACACAGGTCACTAGCTCACCTTCCTAACAGAGTATACAGTACGTGAACCTGAAGGCACCTATCGGCCAATATGCACACAATAAACGGCGCTTCTGAAGGTGCCACTAGGGGGCGCAGGTGCGCCATCAGCGCACGCTGCTCCTGGAGCTCTCTCCTGACACCAGCCTCTTGCAGGCCCTGTCACTTTAATTGCTGTTTCTAAAAGAGTCTGGGTTTGGTGTACATGACTAAGGCTGTACACGTAAAGCGGATTCTGCAAGTCAAGTCAGACACGAGGTGACTGACTTATCACTACTGCCAAGAAAGAGGCCTTGGCCCAGGGTCCCTGCTGCGCTCCCAGAGGTGAGCTGGTCTTAGGCAGGATCCTCTATCAAATGGCTTCTTCCCCTCATTCCCATTCATGACTCCTGTCACATAATAACCTAGGGCAACTGAAAAACAAAATACATCATCTCTGTAGCCTTTTCAGTCCAAGCTAATGCACATCAAGTGACCATGACTGACAGCTGCCTAATCAGGTCGACAGAGACAAGTAGGTACTGAATATTAAAACCGAAAAAGGGACACGTTATCCCCAGAGATGCACAAAGCTGCCATGAAGTCATGCAAACACTTCATGTGAGTCTACTGCAAGCATAACCGAAGCCTTTCTATAGCTTGATGTGATTTCTGATGCTGAGTCTGTAATAAGGCAGGTTGGCTGGGGCATTGTAAAGGACCAGTCCCTAGAGTCCCACCAAGGCTTATGTTACAATAGTGTCTCATAAAGATCCTCAGGACATCCTGCTACCAGAAGCACCGTCATGCTTTGGAACCTCTCTGAGCAAAGCAGGCTTGCTCTTTAACCTGGAGTTTTCTTCAGACTCATCATGTATGTTATTCACATATAAGAAATTCTAGATGTTTTATATTAAATGCTAACAATTAAAAACACAGACTCCGCACACCTGAGATTTGTTGGCGCTGTTGGATGTGTTAGTGGTTTGGGTGCTCTGCATTTTCCCGACGGCCTGAGAGGACTCCAACGCCACATCTTGCGACCCCACTCGGTTCCCAGGAGACGGACGGCAGAGCAGCTGTTTCGGGGTTTTGCATGGTGTCGCATCAGAATCCTAACACAAGTTACGTGAGTTATAAAACGACATATTAATACTCTAGATACTCAATATTAATAAAGGAAAGCAATTTCAGCTAAGTACTCTCTGGACCAAATTTAAACATTTGGAAGTTAAAGGAAGCACACTGAGATATTCAGAAAATTAACTGCTTAAGAAAAATTTTCCACCAAACGTTTAAAGTGACTTATTTTGTCAGAGGGCGTCTGTTCATTGTCAAACCCACCGCCCACATCTGAGCTTGTTAACTGGTCTTGAAGGAGCGCACAGAGGTCCAAGTTTATTTGCATTCTTGGTTCCAGAAAATGAACCATGGTATAATGCAAAGAGCATGGTAAAGAGTCAGGCACCTAGGTTCCAGTCCCTGGCTCAAGGTCTTCAACTGAACCCGAAACGACTGGTTTAAAAGGCTCAATCTCTGAGTCTGCGCTTACAAATCAGCAGTCCCTCCAACCAAACAGCATGCAGACATAGGCATCCCAGAGACAACGGGCTGAGCCCCACCTGCTCTGGGCTGCTCCGGGCCGTGACCGTGCTACTTCTCAGTTCCCTACTCTGCACCCTTGCACTCTAGTGGCATCTGAATCACACACTCTCAGTCTCTAATCCTCCCTCTCTTGAGGCCAGCTCTGCTTCTGCCCCCTGTGTCTGTAACATCGAGCTCAGCCTTCTGTCCCATTCTGTCCTCCACACACTGCTCTGGGAACCAAAATGGCAGGCAGGGAGACTCCACATCTGAGGATTTATCAGTCCATAATGACAGACGGTCATCGTTAACAAAATTATGTCCCTTATGTATTTGGATTACTTTTTGTCATACACTTAAGTCAAAATTCAAATAATGGGTAAGCCCATTTTAGATTTCAATTAAGTCAACACAGAAATAGCCTTGATAAAGGAAAGTAACTGCAGATGTAACGGACACTTAAAATTCAATCAGGACAGAGACAGAAAGGAGATTAGTGGTTGCCAGGAGGTCTGGGAGGGGTGTTGAGAGGCACTGCCAACAGGCACAGGGTTTTTTGGGGGGTGACAGAAATGTTCTGGAATTTGACTAAAAACCACTAAACTGTACACTTTAAAATAGTGCATTTTATATTACATGAATTATATCTTAACTTTAAAATTCAATCAGGAAGCTCAATATTCTGAGTGCAAGAAGCCTTCCACACAAGGATACATACTATATGATTCTGTTTATATGAAATTCTGGAACAGGCAAACTAATCTATAGCGTTAGAAAATAATAACTAACAGTGGATGTCCCTGCGGGTGGGATTGGGGCTTGACTAGGAAGGATCATGAGGGAATTCTCTGGGGTGACAGTTATATTCTGTATCTTGTTAGGGCTTTGGATTACACATGTATATACAACTGATAAAATTCAGTGAATGTAAAGATTTGCCCATTTCCTTACATGTCAATTTTATATCAAAAGAAAACTGGATACAATTATTGAGCTCTAGCTAACGATATGAAAGCTGCAGAATTCCGGAGGATGTGTACTGATGTGTGCAACTTACTTTAAAATGTATCAAAGAATAAAATGAATTGATGGATAAGGATATGGACAGACGGTTAGGTAAGCAAGTGAAACGTCAATGGTGGAATCAAGTGGTGGGTATATGGACGTTCGCTAAAATTCTTTTGTATTTGCTGTCTGCTTGAAAATTTTCATAATAAAACACTGGGAAAAAGTACAAACATGAACATTCTTAAAATTGCCTAGTAACAACAAAGACAATGAGTTAGCCTTATGCCTCTAGACAGTTCAGCCAGCAACAGAACTCCTGAACTTACAGGCTTAGAAAAGCTGTGTTTAATACTTACCACATCACTCGAGCTGGACTGCGTGGCCGAAGAGGAAGACACTGGACTTGATGAGGAGTTTGAAGAGTGTTTACTAAGAGATTCCGAAGTTTTACTTCTACATTTTCCAAGGGCTTCATTTTCTTCAGATAGATTATTATTACATTTATCTAACTGCTGAGTATCTACTATCAAGGTAACATCATTTCCTGAAAAAGTGGCAAAAGATCGGAAAACGTTCCTTCCCATTAAACACACACAACATAGAAAGGCTCTAATACTCGGTCAATCAATAAATTTAAAAATCTTACCATTGCACGAAGGCTCAGGCCTATTCTGCAAGCCCCATTGCTTTGATATCCAATCTCTATATGTGGCGACTTCATCTGTTACTCTAATTATTCTACCTAGTATGCTGCACGTGTTTAAAAAAAAGGGGGGGGGGTTACGTTAAATTGAAGATCAGAAGCCACAACCAATCTTGACACAATGGGCTGTATTTTAGTCAAAGGTTTACCTCTCCGTTTCGTTGTTGGGATAGTACTTCGCTATTGGCGATACAGCATGACTCAAAACAACGTAGGCATAATCAAAGGCTTGTTTCACTTGCATGGCCCCGTATGAACTCCTTCCAACATCATTACCTTAAAAGAAATGTACACGTAAAATAGTTAGCCTTCTAAAAAATAAAACCTATTAATTAAAAAAAAAAAAAGTAGGATTGACCACTGCTTAATTTGAGCTAAATGTGCATGAACCTCTTCGTTTATAAAATGAAACTCCAGCCTCCAGCAGGGCTAACAGTATCCCTGAGACCTGCGTCCAGAAGCGGAGCTGTCAGTTGTCCCCAGCATCCTCTGGTCTCTGAACATGTCTAGCATGCAGTCAGTACTTTAGTATGGCATATAAATTGCCTAAAATGTATTTTGGCCCCAAAAGGACTATATACATCAACAGTCATGCAAACAAAAAATCAGCTGCCTGTTTTCTCCTAAGAGTGAAACCAATGTAAATTAGAAATATCTGTTTTTTGTGTTTCTATTAGCTATATAGCTATTTCCCCCACTAGATTAGGAGCTCCTAAATAAAAAGCAAGGCCGTGTCCCATCTGAAACATCATAATGTCCTTTGCACAATGCCTCTGCGCAGAGTAGGCTCCCAGTGAATATTTCCTGAATGACTAAACACACAGAACTGTTCGTGTGATCAGAAAGCTCAACAAGCCAGAAAAGGGCTCCTAGGCAACTTAACGCCCTTTCCCGACTCACTTTCAGAGCTTACACATTAAAGAAAATGACTAAAAGCATTTCCATTGAAGTCTGATAATGCAGAGTCTAAATACTTTACAATTATATCACAATAAAAAATGTCCAGAAAAACCAAGATATAAGCAAGCAAACGTAACTTCGTGAAAATATGGAAGGAATTTCTCTTCCTTTTCTGTTCACTTTCAAGCCAACATTAAGTTGGAAAAGGACAGGGAGACTATGTAAAAATAAAGAGCAAAGAAGTGGTTCAAAAGAAAAATAGTCTCCTCGAACCCTTTTGCTCACGAATCCAGAAACAGTCACCGTGCTCACTGCATCTAAGGACTTCAAAATCACCACACTAAAGTCCTAGCTGATAACTGGAGGGAATCATGGGCAATGAGGACACCGAAAGAAGCAGCCATCACAAACCCACCCAAGACCTAGTCTCCTTTGCTTTTGACAGTCAAATGGCTCCTACTCCCACCGGGAAATGCTTAAGGTGTGGGGTGTTTTTCTGGTGTGTGGGTGTGTGTGGGTGTGTGTTTTGGTATGTTCATTGATGGAAAAAGAATGACTACAATTTGAAGATATTCCTTCATCATCCATCGAGAGAGAGGTCAAAGTACAATAAGATGACTGAAATGCCCTCTCTTTGCATGCCCACCAATTTACCTAATTTCAATACCTGGTTGTAAAGGGTCTTCAATATAAAGCATTGATGGCCTGTAGCCATCCAGCATATTTTTCTGCACTTCATCTTTGGCCACATATGAACCACCATCCTTTATCCGGATGCCAGTCTTTAAATAATTGAAGTGTCGTCCATATAATTCAAAAAATTCTATTAAGAGAACACCGTAGTTTGTGTTGGGGATGCAAGCATCTTCCCTGGGATGTAACTAAAAACAGAAAAAAGAAATTATCCTGGATTTTCTCTAAATTATCAAAGTAGGAGGGGATATAAATGACATCCTAACTCACATAAGTAATATTCTTAACATTTTTAGCATAGCATATAGCACAGCAGCCAAAGGTAATGGGGTAATAGCTGCTTCTAAGCAGCCAAAAGGTAAGAGGGTAACAGAGGGCTGTACTGCTGTTACAGAAAATATTAGAGCCCCACGGGTGTGAAACTGGCGCAGATGATTTCTAAGAACGGACTTTATGGCCGCCCCAGGGTGCTGATATGGCTCTTGGCCCAACACATCAGGAAAGTCATTCTGACTCATGAGTAGAAACAGGCAGCTGGCCACACTGCCGCATAAATACACTCGCTTACCGGACTGAGACCTCCCGCTCAGACATCAAGTCTCAATTCCAGTTAACCCTACGAGGTTAGCTGCTTAGGAGACATTCTTCTTTGCTGGCATTTATACCACTATTTACATTCACGGAAAGCAAGCCATACGTTTGCATGTTAAAATTTGCAGGGAAAAGTCTCAAAAGTATTAGAACATATAGGATTAAAAACAAAAACATTTTTCTTAAGAATTTTAAAACTTATTTGCTAACTTATTTTTTAAAAGAATTACGTAGCAACTTTGTTAAAAGGGAAAAGCCACATGTATTCAAGAAAAACGTTCCAATTAGAGCTTGATTTAAACTTTTCCAATTAATCTTTTTTCTAGCGTACCTGGCATAGCACACTAGTACAGCTTACCTGAAGGAAACTGACCGCCATTAAAAAGAGGCTATAAGAACCGATTCCACCTGTAAATACTTCATTAAGGTCCCTCTGTAATAAGAACTGTTTCAGCACTAAAACCAAGTATGGCAATACAGGATATTTCTGAAAAAGAAATAAAATTGTATTTTTGATGAATTCCCATATTAGCAACAGCTCCAGGCATTAACAGGAGCATAAACTGGTCCTTGCATTATAAAATAAATTTGGTGGAGATATGTATTATACTTAGTTTTCTACTTTAAGAGTAAGCTATAAAAAAGCATGCTATAAGGAATTGAGGGTTTTCTCCCTCACATCTAAACTCTAGAACATATATACATAAATACAAACACCCAAGCACTCACTATGGGATGGAAACACTGGGTATCTATTTGATGACACTCACTGATGAACATTACCATGTGATACTCGTAAACAGGTAGCAGAAACAGGACAAGGACAAAGTCTCCAACACCTTAAAGCACTACATCAGTGGGATTTTAAAGAATCACTTTTTTGTAGGTGGCACAGACCAGGGTCCTTTATTCTACTTTGCCCCAGACCCGGTGCAGTTCTGCCTGCTGTCCTCCGCATAGGTGGATGACCACGTACAGATGACCTTCCGTGTTTTATAGAGAACGAAGCAGTGACATTCGTGAGCACAGCAGAGCTGGCAAGCGTGAGTCTGTCTTTTGCTCACACACGTGTTCTTCAGCTCTCACTACAAGCCAGGCCTTAGGCCAGGAACACTGAGCTAAACAATGCAGATGCAAGCATCGAGAAAAAGTCTTACCAGCCATTACCCAAGGTGGGGAAATTACTAGTGATTTCTGTTTTCTTCCTTACACTTATCTATGTTTTTAGAGTTCCCACAGTGAACACACACTGCTTCCATCAGAAATAAAAATGTTTATATTTTCACAAGTCATGTCAAACTTCATAAGTGTGGGAAAGAAGACCAAAAGTATGGAGAAATAACCATTTTTAAACAGTATGGTTGAAGATGGAATAGAAATAGCCTCTTTAAATGACAACTAGGCAAATGTTCAACAGAATTTTATCCGCATATACTCTTTAACCCCGAAAAACCACTCCCAGGAATCTCCCTACATTTTTGTAAAAGTAAAGAAAAATGCAGGTATGGAAAGATGTTCACCAAAGCAGTTTTTTGTAACAGCAAAAACACTGGAAACAGCCTAAGTGTACACCAGCGGGGAACAGCTACATAAATTATGATACATCCTTAGAAAGGACCACCGTGTGGCCAGTAAAAAGAATGAAGTAAACCTGTACGGGCTGACATGAAAGAGCCTCCAAAATATTAAGTTAAAAAAAGAAGGTAAAAGACAATGCGCAGGAGTCCCTGGGTGGCACAAACAGTTAAGTGTTCAACTATAGCCGAAAGGTTGGTAGTTCGAACCCACCCAGAGGCACCTCGGAAGACAAGCCTGGTGATCTGCTTCTGAAAGGTCGCAGCTTGTAAACCCTAGAAAGTGCGTTTGTACTCTGCGCCCATGGGGTCACTGTGAGTCGGAACAACAAGAAGACAACGTGTGTATAATGTACTACTCTTTTTGTGTGTAAAAATTTCAAAACAAGGATAAATAGACAAGCCAAAAATTTAAATTAAAAAAAAAAATGGTGGTGGTGGTAAATTCTAGAAAGCTGATGTAAGCATCTACGGTGTGCGGGTGACTAGTTTTTGAATATCCCTTTATATTTTTAAATTTCTATCAAGCTTATTATTTTCAATAAAAAATGTTTCTTTTCTGGGAAAAAGATACACACATATAACATCACCAAAAGAGTGGGATTATGGACAATACTTCTTTTCCTGCTTTTCTGTACTCTGCACATCTATATAACAAATATAATGTTTACAACACGATAAAGTAGTTAAAACATTCTTACCAAAAAAAAAAAAAAGAGAGAGAGAGAAACTGTAGCACTACTACAGAAAAAAGACTGTAAATGGGTAGAAGAGATATTCTACATAACATTTTTTGTTTAGGAGAAAAAGACTGACCAACTGTCTTTAAGTATGTGAAGTGTTCTGAAGATGATATTGGTGAACTCTTCTCTTTCTTGGAAAAAAAACAGAACAAGTAGAAATAGACTTAAATATCATCACGATAAAAGTAAGAAAACCTACGGGAACCATCTTACAGGCAGATGACTCAGGAATTAAAATCTAGAAGAGGCTCCCAAGGAAGTTCTTAAGCCTGAACTCTTGGAGATGAAAAACAGACAGGAACCCACCGTGTGGCATGATTTCAGGCCTTATCTCCTTAAGAGGAAGGATCCAGAGCAGAGGACTTCTTAAAAAGCTTTCTCAACCCTTAATTCTCACTTATGATCACATTATAAATTAATTACTGATTATTACAAGCAGATTCAAGGCAAGTAAACTATTGCATGGAAAAGTAAGCTGCATTTGTCAGCAATATGCAAATAAAAATCGTTTAGGGCAAACTATACCAGAACACCACCACAACAGAATCTCAGCACAAAATCACAGTTGTAATCATTCCACCGTATAAACACTCCAAGTGCTCTGACCTTGGTAAAGTCTTTGATGAGGTCAGCAGCTCTCACACCATTCTGTACATTAAAGCTGATATCAACTTTCACTTCAGTAAAAGAATCTGTTAATTTAATAATAGGTACCTAGAAAGAGAAGAATGGTAAAATTAAAACACTTAACTAAATTATGGGCAGAAACAGGGGATAAAAAGTTACTAGACTTGAGGTCTAGACTTCTTCATGAGGGCTTAGAAACACTGAGCGCTATAAATACTACCCACCCCCGTTAACCTGGCCTTCTACAGATACTTTACATTATATTAGCATTTAACCTCAAAAACAATCTACTTTAATTTCTATTAACTGCAGATTTTGAAATCAGGTAACAAAACCCTTTCTCAACATAATGTACTTTGGAAAACACTGATTCCAACTCAGTCTAAGATCAGGAGTGACGAACACCAAGCACTAATGTTTCAGATCACCAAACCACTCGGATCTAAGTCGCACTTCATAACTCCTTTGAATTACTGGGCAGTTCTGCAAAGAGCCAAAAAATAATCTGACAAGAGAAGATAAAGTGAAAGAATTATCCTCAAATAAAAAAAGGATAGGATAATTTCTGTCTTAGGAATTCTTTTTAAAAAAATGCTGTATTTGCAACATGCATTAGAAAACGCAGGCCAGCAAAATCTGTGTTAGGGACTGAGTCTCCAAACTAACAGATTTTTCATAAAAATAATACTGGTGTTTTGCTCGAAGAAAATCTAATATGCACAAAAACCCAAACTTCTAAAACAGACGTATGTATTGCTGTAATGAGTTTCCATGAAGGTTCTTTGTTGGCCATCCCGGATAGGGTTAAAATCTGACCTTATTTTCAAAATCTCAATTACACACAATTTTTCACAAACACAAAATAAAACAGAATAACATCTTCTGTGTCACTATAAACTGTCTGATAGAAATATATTATTTTTATTTATATTGTTTTATATTTCTAAAAATCTCTGCAATGAGTGTTGTTTAATAAAAACGAGTATTATTTTTTAAACAAATGTCCAACCAGAACAAGTCGATTTGTTTCACAAACGAAACTTTTTACGTACAAGCACTGTGACATCAACAAAAACGAAAGAATCATTCATTCAAAATCAAACCATGTTCACAAAATCAAAATTTAATTTTGTAAGTTTCATGGGAAAATAACTGAGATTTTAAGATGAAACGTTGAAGAACTTACAGTTGCTTTGTCTAGAACTTTCACAGAATCCTCATCTGCAACTTTGTGTTTCCGAAGAGCTTCTTCCAAGGTCCAGAGAGGCAGGTTCTCCCACTTCCCAAATACCACGAGATCGATGTCACTGAACGCAGAAGACACAAAAGTTGTTTGAAGAAGCAAGAAAGTGTACTTGTTTTAGCTTAGATTCAAACTAAGTGCAGTCAAAATCTACATACCACCCTGCCAATGAAGACTAAATGCACTGGTGATGATTGTTTATTCAGAGGGGCAGTGGGAGGTGTTGATTTTAACTGCCTCCTCCTCCCAGTCAGTTCTCAGAATTCAGGTATCAGAGAACAAACAGGCTGATTTTGAAAGAAAACCTCAGAAAGTACTAGTTAATGCTTCCTTTTCATTGAGGTTTCTGATAGTAAACTTAGGATTTTCCTATCTGAGATTGTGACTTCAAAATATTGTCAAGTCTGAAAAGCAAGATGCAATGTTTCTACTATGCTACCATTTGTATAAAAAAGCACACACACACACACACACACACACACACACACTTCCTTTTACACACACAGGGTCTCTCTGGAAAGATATCTGAAAAACTGGTAACAATGGCTTCCTCTAAAGGGGGGAAATGGGGGACAGAGGTGGGATGGAAACTGTTCATTGTAATTATTTTTATGATTTTTCAAACCTGAACTATTAAATTTTCCAGAAAGAGTGACTCTTAGGATTTTACTGAAGCTCAGAACCTACACAAAGAAAAATATTAATGGAATCCAAGTTGAATGTCGTATGGCTTTGGGGCCAAGGACAGCAGAGGGAAGAATGGAAATTGGCTAGGACCCATCCACTTCAACACATTACGGAAAAAAAGAAGGTAGAGTGAAGGAAAGCAAATCAAGTCACGTAATGGAATGCTGTTCCTTCTTAAAGACCAAGTATTCACCCCTCAGGGAAACACCATTCCTACAAGGATATTCTCCCAGAATGAATTAAGGCAGCCCTCATTTGAGAAGACTCAAAATATGAATAAAACCCATTGCCTCGAGTTGATTCTTACTCATAGCAACCCTCTAAGACAGAGCAGAAGTGCCCCTTAGGACTTCCAAGGCTGTGAATCTTTACGGAAGGAGACTACCACATCTTTCTCCTACTGAGCAGCTGGTGGGTTCAAACTGCCAATCTTTCTGTTAGCAGCCGAGTGCTTAACCACTGTGCCACCAGGGCTCCCATCCTTAAAAGACCAAGACCCTAGAGGAGAGTTTTGTACCCTGAATTTCTGGAGCAGGATGATGGAACGGTATCTAGTAGTCTGTGGTCTTAGTAGTCTGTGGACCTCCCATTCCAGAGTATCCGCAGCGCTACACAGTACAGACAGGTCTCTTACCAAGGTAACTATCTTAACGCCTGCGCTAACGGGGTAAGCCATGGAGCGGGGCAGTTCTCTGCAGCGCCAGTTGCTCAAATTAGTGGCTAACAGGTTCCACTGCCACACACCCCCGCTTATGTCCATCTGTACCATCCAAGTCTTGGGAAGATGATCAGAAGCTACAGTCTGTCTCAAGGTGATCCCAATAAAATACAGGTACATGAATTCTTGTTTCAGGAGCGTGGCTGTTTTGTTTCTATACATTCAACAATCAAAATGAATACACTCTAGAAAAATGTACAGGCCCTTGAAAGTATCACAAATGTACTAACCTAGTCGGTAAATACAGGCCAGTTTTAAAACTTCCAAATATCTGGACCTGAAAAGGAAAAACAGGTTATTATATTAAGGTATCAGATGGAAGCCACCAAATGAGGGAGAAATATAATGAGAGAGAAATATGGGGGTGTGCTACCCTCTAGTGCTAATTTTCAGTACTATGAAAGCATTTTTTTATGACCATGCTTTCAGAGTGGGATTCTGTGTCTCACGGTAGACATTCACAACACTGTTTAAACTTTCAGGTTCAAATATGAAACATACAGACTGACATAGAACGATTTCAAAAGTAACATTCAACTTATCAACATTCCCTTATAATCCAGAGACACTCCTTTGGAACTGATTTTATCATACATCTGTCATCTAACACCCTCGTCATAAAGTAAAATAAAACTTGTTTTATAAATAAAATATGCTCTTGCCACATTACAATCACAAATCCTTAATCTTTGTTCTCTAAGCAGGAGGAGCTTTCTCATCGATGACTGAGTTAAGGTTAGATGACCCCAACCACAGGACAAGCACTGGCCTGTAGGCTGAGTCCACAGAGAACACTGGGTGCTGTCATTCTAACATTATGCTGTGGCATAAAACCTGGACAACTCCAATCTCACCCACGGAGGACAGTAGAAGCCTGAGGTAGGTATGTGTGCAGATAAGCACACAGACTAGGACTGGGAATTTTGCAATAATGGATGAGTAATGGAAAAAGCTCAACCTCTGAGGTGAGATGGACCTGGGACCAAATCACAGCCTTATGTTCCTCATCTGTAAAAACATAAGGATAAAATGCTCCACATCAGAATGATGCAGATTATTTAGATCCAGGTTTCTCAACTTCAGCACTACTGACATTTGGGCCAGATAATTCTTTGTTATGCAGGCTGCCTTGTGCATATTCAGCAGGATTCCCCTGGCCTCTATCCATCGATGCCAGGAGTACCTCCCCGGTCCCCTCGTGACAACCAAAAAGTCTCCCAAAAAAAACCCAAAAAACCAAGCCCAATGCCGTCCAGTTGATTCTGACTCATAAGCGACCCTGTAGGACAGAGTAGAACTGCCCCACAGGATTTCCAAGGCTGTGATCTTTACAAAAGCAGACTGACCAGTCTTTTCTCCCACAGAGCGGTTTGTGGGTTTTCAAAGCACTGACCTTAAAGGTTAGTGGCCAAGCGCTTAACCACTGTGCTACCAGGGCCAAGTGTCCCCCGGGGGGCAAAATCGCCAGCAGCCAAGAGCCACTGATCTAGATCACATGGGAAAAGCAAGGTGACAAACAGCAGCTGCTCAATAAGACACTAGTGTCCAACCCTCTTCCCTTATAGTATCTTACTTGAAACTTTCTTGTTTGCCCAACTGGGCAAAAATACTTCCTGGCTTCCCCTTCCCCACCTCATGACAGACTCTGAAGAAACACTATATAACACAAAGTAGTGGATTCTAGTAAGTACTTCTCGGAATGCACTAAATTTTAGAATATACCCTCAAAGGAGCTCTGAAAAGAGAAGCATTAACTTACTACCAACAACAAAGACTGCAAATAAGAGCTTGTAATCTTGGGCAAACATTTTTTTAAATTGTTGTACGTTAGATGAAGGTTTACAGAACAAACCAGCTCCTCATTAAGCAGTTAGTACACAGATTGTTTTGCACCATTGGTTACCACGCCCACGACATGTCAACACTCTCCCTTCTCAACCTTGGGTTCCCTACTACCAGCTTTCCTGTCCCCTCCTGCCTTCTCATCCTCACCCCTGGGCTGGTGTGTCTTGAGCAAACAGTTTGTTCACTGGGTGGTAGACATAGTGGGAGACAAGGAATGGTCAGAGAGAGAAAAAATGAACATCACATGACAAAAGAAAGTCCCGCTTGGCATTTTCATTCAGTTATAAGCAATTAATATTTGTTTGGACTGACAGGTTGGAACAAAACTTTAAGGAGGTTTTGATATATTACATCCCATAACAGACTACTACAATGAGGTCTGATTTGCCTTTCTTCTCTTTATAACTAATGATTCCTAAGAATAGTTCACTTTAATGATTGCTATTTAACATTGCAAAAAAAATCTTGTCTACAACATGACCAAGGCACATCCAAACATCTTGAGGGACCGAGTTACTGGGGCGGAGGGCTGGGGACCATGGTCAACAGGCATAACATAGTTCATAAAGAAAGTGTTCTACATCCTACTTCAGTGAGTAGCATCTGGGGTCTTAGCAGCTTGCGAGTGGCCATCTAAAATACATCTATTGGTCCCATCACTTTCAGAGTAAAGGAGAACGAAGAAAGCCAAAGACACAAGGAAAGTATTAGTCCAAAGGACTAATGGACCACATAAGTCTACCTTTCAGCCAAATATTAGACAGTCTATAAAACAAACAATAACACATGTGAGGAACATGCTTCTTAGTTCAATCAAGTATACGAGACCAAATGGGCAATACCTGCCCGAAAGCAAAGATGAGACTGCAGGAAGGGACAGGAAAACTAGGCAAATGGGCACAGGGAACCAGGGTGGAAAGGGAAAGGGGAGAGTGCTGACACATTGCAGGGATGGCAAACAACGCCACAAAACAATTTGCGTGTACATTTTTGAATGAGAAACTAATTTGCACTATAAACTTTCACCGAAAACGCAATTAAAAAAAAAAAAAAAAAGCCAGAGGTCCAGGTGGTGAAGGGACTTCTCCAAGGCCACACAGTTTAATGGCAAAGAAGCTGGGGTCAAAATCCAGGTCTCCTAGTGTCTTCCTGGCAGGATTTTACTAGTCTAGCTCATTTGAAACTGTATGTAGTGATGGACCAGCACAGAGAAAGGCCTCAATAAATATTACTGTTGTTGGGAGAAAAAAAAGTTTGTCATTTGATCCAACGAAATAATTAGGAAGCCCAAATTCTAAAGGCTGCAGAAAATTGTTCACCTTTAAAATTTAATTAAACTGTAAGTCTCCAGATGCACATCCACCTGTATGCGAAGACTCTAAATAAGATATCGACACTCCTGTCCCACCCCGTGGACAAGGGTGTGATGGAGCACCCAGCTCCCAGGCGGGTACTCACGTCGGCGCTGGGCCAGAGCTCCTTGATCACACTCTCGATTCTGTTCACCACCTCCATCCGCATCTTCTCCTCCTCTGGTCTCGGAGACATGTACTCATAAAAATCACTGATTTCTTCATGCAGGCTGAAGAAAAAGGAGGAAAAGTTATTAATATAGGAAGGACCAATGTAATGAGAAATCATCATCTTAAATAACCTAATCTAATTAAGTCTTATCACTCAGCTGAAGACCATATTCAGATTGTTACCTTAATTTTAATGTCACAACTCATGCTAAACTAAAATGGGAATGTTCAGAAGTTAATCAAAAAAGTCAAAATAAGGAACAAATTCCAAGGAGTCTTACCGGGAGTGTGTTAGGAGCCTTGGTGGTGATTATCAATCTGCCTGTGCAGAACACTAGCTGGGTGCTGGGGATTAAAATAAGACCTGGCCCTGCCTACACGTACGATCCAGTGGACGCAAACAGGAAAGATGCTGAATCCACGTGACGCGAGCGAACTTCCTGGCAGAAGGGACTGGCCTTCTTCCCTCTCTGTGAATCCACTCCTCACAGTGAGCAAAACAGTGCGTCTTTCATAACGTCTGTTCCGTGAATTAAGCGTCTAGTGAACCCATCAGCCAATGAACATCAGCAGAGTCTTGAAAAGAATGGCTGGCAGACAAAGGCTCCATGACGGAGCTAGAACCTTCCAAGAGACTGCGAGGCACAAGGCATAGAGGAAGCAGTGAGCAGCCTGCGCGTCTGTGGCTAAGGAGGAGTGGGAGAAGCATCTCAGAGGAAGGCCAGCACCCTGTGGCAACAGGTAACTGTTTCAGTGTTTCTGAGAGGGACTAGGGAAAGACTGACTTAAAAAATGCAGCATTTTAAGAAGATTAATCGGGCAACTGTACAAACAACGGATTGGCAAAGAGACAGGACTGGAAGCAGAGAGAACGGCTTATGGTTTATAAATTACCACCATTGTAGAGAGACCAGATGAAGGCCTGGACAAGGGTGGTGCAGGAGAAACAGGCTCCAGAACTGGCGTGTGCACACCCACACCCACACCCACACCCACCCACACACCCACACACCC